GGCCTGCTGCCCCGGCTGCTCCTGCTGCTCGGCAGGTAAAGCAGCCACCACCAGAGACTGTCGGGTTTGTTGGTTTGTTGTGGTCGTGGGTTTTTGTTTTTTTTTTCTTTCAGGAGGATTATTTTAGAGTCTCTTTAATGCATTTCTACAAAATAAAAAAATAACGTGGTTATGTTGGACATCGTTTGCCACCAGTGCCACCAGCTCAGCAGCACATGTCCCCTGCTTTTCCTCCAGGTTCCCTGCAAGGGAAGCCAGGACCTGAGAGAGCAGAGAAAGGTGCTCAGATCAACAGAGCCCCTCAGCTTCCCCCTTCTCTTTGGCAGCAGCCACCAAGTCACTCCCAGACCTGCTACCCAAACTGCTGCAGCCCCCTCACCCCTCACCAGCCACAGCTCCCTCCCCTGCCCCACCTTCCCCCAAAGCCACAGCTCAAACTCTGCTTAGCCCAGCCTTAGGCCTTGAGTAAACATCTCTGCAGTTATTTTTAAAGATTTTTGGGAACCTTTAGATCCATGCAAGATGTAGAAATGTTAAATACTTTGGCAAGTTCTTCCCTCCAGGGTTCACGTTCTTCCTCCTTCGGGCAATAAAAGGGCTGTGGGAATCGCTGAGGCTCACAACTCACCATGTGCAGTGCTTTTTTTTCCTTGTTCTGCCTTTTTCGGGAGAGTTCTGCAGGAGGAGGTGACCAGGGGTGAAATCCCAGCTCCAGCAGAGTCAAGGAGATGTTTGCCCCTGGCTTCTCCACAGCTCCTTTATCACCTTGCAGGGCACTGAGAGATGGTAAATACGCTCTAGGACCTGGCTGGGGTGAGACACTCACCTCAGCTGGGACAGAGCAGCCACTGTTCCTCTTTCTCTCAGGTGAGGTGTCCTTCATACCTACACAGACACTCATTCCCTCACAGGCTAGAACTGAGGCAGTGCTGGCAGAGGAAGGAGCCTCACGCTGCTGGCAGCCGAGTGCCTCTGCCAGTGCTGTGTGATTGCAGAACACATCTGATTTCAGCAGTGAATCATAAATGCTAAGCTGTGGAAAGAGCTCTCCTAGGATTCATCCTGCTTGTCCCCTTGCCAATGCCAAACTGCTCCCAGGGCTGCATTTTCCAGTGCTCTGCTCTGACTCAGGAGTGCAGGAGCAGCTTAGTGAGCTGCTCACTGTCGAGGTGAAGGATCATACGCCTTGAGGACTGAAAGTGGGATTTAGAAGGCTAAGTCACGGAAGGTTTTAATTAGCTTTACTCTCAGTGTCCTGGCTGCAGTCTGAGCTCTTCACTCACGTCGCACTCAGAGAGGCAGGGTCCACCAGACACAGCCAAGCCCCACACCCAGAGCAGCACACCGGAGTGTCTCTGCTTCCTCATGGAAGGGGCTGCAGTGCCATCCCCTCCCCAGCACAGAGGGGACTGAATTGCCAGAGAGGCGCAGAGGCTGCTCTGTGCCCTGGGTGCACATGCACCCCTGGCACAGCCCCAGGCTGTGCTGGATACACACGGTCCCCATGACCATTGCTTTCCTCTCCTGCTTCCTCCCCAGCAGCCATTGCCCTGGATCTGTGGCTGGACAAACCCCAGCCAGAGCTTCGCCTGGACCTTCAACTCATTTGCCCCTTGCCAAGAGAGCTGAAGTGCTCCTGCTGCCCAGCCAGGAAGGCAAGCCCAGGGAAACCTGGACCAACAGCATCTCCATCCACACCAAGTTTATCTCCTCTCCTGGGCAGCTCAGAGACTGAAACTGTTCACTGGGGTTTGGCATCAACCTCACCAGTTACACAACATCTGACTCCCCCATGTCTTTTCTCATCAATGACCCTGGTTTTTGGCAGCTAACTTGTTTGGCTTAGTAAGCCACAGGGGAGGAATAAAAAGGTTGAAAAGAAGTTCAGAAACCATCCAGCAGGCTCCTGAGCTGCCCTGTCCCTGCACACTGCCGGGCTGCTCCCCGCACAGCACTGCCTGCACTGGCACTTGCACCTGCACCACTGCCTGCCTCTGGGCTTGGCCATCAGCCTTTGACAGAGCCCCAGTGCTGGCTGAGGAGTGCCAGGGTGAGGGTAAAGCCCTCTGCAGAGATCTCTGCTTCACCACACCAACAAACAAGCTGTTCAGCAGCTCCAGGAGCGTGGGTTCAGGGTCCCAGAACAGCCCAGCCATCACTGCCACCTCTACACCCTGCATGGAAACATCCCACCTTGGGGCCTTCCTTCAGAGCCCAGGCCTGCGTAGGAGCCCCAGGACCTTGCCCAGGTTTCCACCAAGGAAACCTCCTCCTCTCCAGACCCTCCTGGAAATCCCCAGTGCCATTGGCCCCTGCAGCACTGGCCCTTTCCTGGGGCATGGACCATGAGCGTGGCTGTGGAGGGTGATCCACTTGTGCTTGGGCACAGAGACTGAACGATGCATCAAGCAGGAAAACTCTGTGGGTTTGTTGTTTTTTTTCTTTTCAACTTTCCCTTGCTCAGTTTCTTTTTCTCACTTTCTGTTAAAGAAAAATTTCCAAACAGTTCTCCAAACCAGTAAGTCCAGTCAAAAACTCATCCTGCCAGCTGCCATAAGGTTTCACTTCATTGCACCTATAAATGTTAATTCAGCAAATAATGACAGCACCAAAGAGCAGCTCTGCCCTGCATAGCCAGTGTCTGTGGCCACAGCCCACCAGGAGGACAGTGACCATGTCCCCTGGCCACAGGGGCCTGGGTCCCACTTGCTCTGGGTGACTGCAGCTCCTGGAGCTGGCTCCCAAGGTCAGCCTCCCAACTGAGAAGGCAATAACCCTGTCACAGAGTGGAATTAAAATGCTTTTCTGTTAATTGCATGGGGTTGGTGCCTGCTGTGTGTTTGTGCAGGGCAGGAGTTGCTTTGGGTTTGCTACTGGGAGCTGCAGCCCTGGAGCCACCACTGCTGGGGGCTTCCCTCCTCAGAGGCAGGAGAGCCAAAGACAAGATCCATCGTTTGCCCCATCAGTTTCTCACATAAATTACCAAGTCTGAAACCCCCGAGGGGCTCAGTAAAGAGACACCTGCTGAAGACAAGGTGGGTGCTGTGCTGGCACAGCCCAGGAACAGGGCCCACACTGGGCACCACCTGCCTTCTTCATGGGCTTTGAATGGTCAGGGCTGGGGTCTAGTCATGGTCAGTAGAAGGATCCTGCCCTAAGGTTTCACTTGCCACTCCCTTTGTACTGGGAAAAGCAAAGGGAACTGTCCTAGCAAAACATCCCACCTTTGCTGAACGGGATGCTCCAGCTCCTGGTGCCCTTCCCCGCACTGGCCCTGCAACAGCAGGAGGTGCTGGTGGATCCACAGCAGTGGGAGATGCTCATGGCCCCTCTCAGCCCCTTGGTCCCCATTCAGGCAAAGCTGTGACTGGCCTGCAATTAAAAAAACAAGCATTCACGTGATTTTAAAGTGAAGAATTTTGTGAGAATGGAAAGGTTTCTCAGTCACCACCAGCTCCTTCCAGCTTAAAAACCTTCAGTGATGCCATAGAGTTGGAAACATTCTGATTTTAAAAATACATGCCTTGGAATAATCAAAAGCACAAATGCTACATAAAGCTAAATTTAATTGCATTTCAGTTTACTGCTGCATCTGAAATAGCTGTTTTTCCAATAGCTATCTTGAATCTCAACTTTACAG